TAACATTGAATTGAACAATACAACGCTCCAAAAATAATGACTATGACATCATATGACCAATTCTTTGTACAAAACTCCGCACAAGACACAAGAAACGGCGTTCAAACGCCGTTCCACAACTAAGCGTTTTTCAAGGCAGTTTTTGCCGCGCACCACCACTTTGTGGAACCAGCTGCCCACTGAAGTATTTCCGAACCAATTCGACTTAGGGTCCTTGAAGAAAAGAGCGTACCAATTCTTAAAAGGCCGGCAACGCACTCGCGAGCCCTCTGGCATTGAGAGTGTCCATGGGCGGCTCCTGTCCGTTTGCCCCTTGTTCTATAAAAAAAATATATCAAACTATTCACATTGGACTACTTCAAAATATTACTTAAGATGCTTAGATGCGCCGAAGTCTTGCGATCTTGCCAAATTCTGAGACATATTACATAGTTGATGGTTATGGAATAGCTAATCAAAAATAGAAAATCAAATCATCTTATTTATAAATCTTAAGAATTTCCATAGTATTAAAATTGGTTTATATTTATTTGAGCAGTGTTGGCTTAGTTGACTTTCTTTCTATGTGCGCAGTTAACATTCGCTTGATCGATGAAGGAAACATCGTGAGAAAACCGGCTTGCCTTAGACCCAAAAAGTCGACGGCGTGCGTCAGACACAGGAGGCTGATCACCTACTACTTAGATTAACAAATGATCATGAAACAAATACAACAATCTGCGAATTAAAAAGGTTGTAGCGCCACTGATTATTATTATTATACTTTATTACACCTAACATAGGTCTATCAGGATGTTAAAGCTTCCTCAAACAATTAATGAACCGGAAAAGCTCAGAACTTGGACCATTCTCACCACGCCAACGCTAAACGGCGATGCAAGCCGTCAAACATCTTTAGTCGCTTTTGAAATCACTTCACGGGATAACTCAAGCGTGTCATACTCATACTGATTCACTTTTGAAGTTATATACTTCTTTAGGCGCGTTAGGGGAAAATTATGATAATAATTTTTACGATGCGAGCGCACACCGTCACAAAAAATCGACACCCTGAAGTTAGCTATAGTCAACATTTTAGTTTTTTCTACAAACGTAGAATACAATTTTTGAAAAGATTTTTATCTTGTTACGCCAAAGAAGTATTACTTTCTAACGCGTGTACAGTACACACACGTTTTTTTAATACTAACATATTATATACTTCTATTTACAAAGGACCTGCAGTACTACCGAGGGTAATTCGCTGATTTTATAAATATTTCTTTAATTTAAAGAAGCTATGCCCTAGTGGTGGGCAAGCCACCCTCATCCCTGAGGTCATAGGCTGTGCTTAATAGGCTTTCCGCCGATATGCGAACTGGCCCGTACGGTGAAGGTTAACAACGTAAGGCATGCCACAGACCCGAAAATCTACGAAAATAAATAATCACGAAACAGATATCGAAATCTGAGGCTCAGACCTAAAAGATTCTTTTTCCATAATATCAACGAAAAATTAAGCCTTCAATCCCTGTGATTACAGAGCAAACGCTTTATATCAAATTTATTTTTTTATTTATAGAACGGGGGGCAAACGGGCAGGACGCTCACCTGATGTTAAGTGATACCGCCGCCCATGGACACTCTCAATGCCAGAGGGCTCGCGAGTGCGTTATCGGCCTTTTAAATATTGGTACGCTCTTTCCTTGAAGGACCCTAAGTCGAATTGGTTCGGAAATACTTCAGTGGGCAGCTGGTACCACATATCTGTGATGCGCGGAAAAAACTGCCTTAAAAACGCCGAAAGGTGATACGGATGGAATTTCATATTCTGCTCGACGTCTGATGATGAAACTCAGCTGCAGGTATCTACGTTTACCTACGTTTCGGTTAACAAACATTTGTGGGACAAAAATATTCATTCCCCATTTTTTGGTTCAATTGTTCTTCACCGTTAAATAGAGAATATAATATCAAAATTATTATCCATAGTGCAATATTATTAAATGCATGTATATGATACTTACGTAATATAATATGTAAAAGCATTGGTGCAAACTGCAAATGTATTCATTAAGATAAAGCATTATTTGCATTATTAATACAATACTAGTCTATACTCACCATTAGTATACGCGAAGCTCTCATTGTTAAAACATTGGAACTCCATTTTACTGGGCAATTGATAAAAATATTAAAAAACTACATTGCAGACATGTATATGAGTTATTACGTGTTTATTTTGTATCGCGATCTATGTCACGGGTGACGCTAATATTCAAATATTAGTCATTATTTATAGATAAACATTTATAAAAATTGGAAACTTATAAATAAATTACGAAATAAACGAAACACAACTCGTAAACGCATAATTTTCTAATTAACATTTGTAAGCCTACACGTTTTTAAGCAAATAAATGATAAATAATTACTAAAGACAAGTTTTTTTTTTAATTTTACAGGAGGCAAACGGGCAAAAGGCTCAACTGATGTTAAGTGGTACCGGCACCCATGTGCTAGTTGATCTAGTTCTTAGGGTAGGAAATTAAACACTCCAATGATGACTTGATTCACTATAATTCACTTCACTGATTTTACGTAAACTGTATAACTTCAAACTTGAACAAAGGAATTGCCCGTGCGCATGTGTTCAAACCTCTTTTATCATCTATTCCCTACTCCGACCCGACCATCTCACTTCGGGCAGTTGTTCGAGTCAATTCGTAACAATTCGTAAACAACTGAACGGGTCAAATGAGTATCTATTGCACATGCGCGCTTGTAGCAATATTCTTAAGAATATGTTTCATAAAAAATGTTTTGAATTAAATGAAATAAATATTAAAAGCTAACACATAGCACTCACACTGTCAGAAGGTTCGCAAGCGCGCCCGCCGGTCTTTATACAATTGGTACGCTCTTTTGAAGGACCCTAAGTCGAATTGGTTCGGATATATACTTCAGTGGGCAGCTGCTTCCACATAGTGGTGGTGCGCGGCAAAAATTACCTTAAGAAACGCTCAGTTATGGAACGACGGACGTCGCGGTGATACGGATGATATTTTGTATTCTACCTTGACGTTCGATAATGAAACTCCGCTGCAGGTATTAGTCCGAACAATTCCTCTGAATCTAAGTAACGAGTAACACGGTAAGATTTCTCTAGGAAATATAGTCTCTAGCTGACTATTTCTATACTATAAAACTTTTTTTTAAATAGAACCGGGCAAAAGGGCAGGAAGCTCATCTGATACCGCTTATGGACACTCGCACTTCCAGAAGGCTCATAGCCGCACTATTATAACAATATAATAGGCTTTTTCAATGCAATATTTCAATGACTTAATAAATTATATATTGGATACAATCATTGAGTAAACACAAAGCTTAGATAAAAGTAGGAGTTCATCCCACTAGATTTTAACTGCGCATGCGCATTTCAGAAGCGAGGGCGTTTGCTACAACGTTATAATGTTTATAATTCTGTTAATAAATGAAAACATATTTGTTTTGATTATAGGTACCTAGCTATAGTCAGCATTTAAAAATGGCGTTAAAAACTTTAATTCGTTACCTACTATATAGAACCGTATTAAAATTTAAATTTAAATACATTTGTAAAAGTATATGTGTGTACAAAATTTTCTGTAAACAAGCCTTTCCGCTCCGCTTATAAAACAAGTTTTGGTTTGTAATATTCATGTAGGTTTAATGCATACAATCCGAATTGGGCAATTCGGTCAAGTACACACCATCTTTGGCAGTGCTAACTGTGCCTAATCATCATCTTACATTAGTGAAAGCAGATTATAAGCGTTTACTTTTTATTACCATTTTGATATGACATTCTATTTAATCTATTCATTTTATATATCAATTAATAAAGAATCCCAATTACAAAAGCTAACTAGCGACTAAAGTCTATACAAATAATAATTTTTAATTCTATAAATTGGCTTTAATATCAAATTGAACATTCATAATTAAAATAAGCCGCCAAATTTGACAGATTTATGATTATTTAGTTACACTGAAACGTATTTTAAAGCTGTGTTTTACATAGATATTCCCAATAGTAATTTGTGCCGGTGTGTACTGTTTTTACGCTTGATCCCCAAGCGAGCTGTATTTCTGGTCTCTTCGTGCGAAGGAGCCCTAACAGCACGCTGGCGGTAAAACCGGGAAGGCTGGATTGCCCTACTATGGGTCATTGCAATGGATTGTATGTGCCCTTTTTAATGATTTAATATACTTTAAGCTAACGAACTAATATAGTATTTAGAGTGTTCAGAGGAGTTGTTCGGACTATTATACCTGCAATTGAGGTTCATCACCGGACGTCAAGGCAGAATACAAAATACCATCCGTGTCACCTCGACTTCCATCGTTCTACAACTGAGCGTTTCTTAAGGCAGTTTTTGCCGCGCACCACCGGTATGTGGAACCAGCTGCCCACTGAAGCATTTCCGAACCAATTCGCCTTAGGGTCCTTCAAGAAAAAGGGCGTCCCAAGTCTTAAAAGGACCTCAACGCTCTTGCGAGCCTTCTGGCAATGTGAGTGTTCATGGGCGGCGGTATAACTTAACAACAGGTGAGCCTCCTGCCCTATTGCATAAAAAGAAATTGTAACTAACACTATAACCATAATATGGACTTATGATTGTCTGCATGAATAAACTATAATAACATGTCAAATAGTTAATAATTAATTTGTTTTTGTTCTCTTGTTTAATTAGACTTGAATAGACCTTAGACAAGACCATTTAAGTGTGAAATCGCTATACTAGGAAAGTGATTTGTAAGGTGAAACGTAGTTCAAATAAGAATAGAATCAACTATGCCTTTATACTCGTCTTAGTCGGTAATTTATTTTAATTAATTTGCTTAGGACTCATGTAAACCGTTATGCAATACATATACAAATAATTTATCACCAACATAATTGTCAAGTGACAATTGACATAAATTTAGAACGTCACTGTCTAACCCAGTATAATGGATTTCCGATATTATCTGCTTCACCAAGCGATTACGCACCAATCACTACTGACCTCCAGTTCGAAGTACACAGATAGAGGAGACCGTACCCTGACGTGTGGGGGCATCTGCTGTCGACTGGGTGGAGGCACACCCGGCGGTATGGCACGTCCTCGCTCTCGGAGTGCTGGGTGGGGTCCCACACTGCGTACAGGCCGCTCTTGTTTTACTGCTGTTGAAAGAAGACTCTTTAGGAGAAGAAGGATGATAGTGTTAGGTTTTAGTTCAACAGAAAAACCAACTAGCTATATCTACGTTTTAGTAGTAGTTAATATTTTTGTAGAAAATCAGACTTATTCATAAACGTAGGTACTAACTTTTAAAATGTATTCAATGTTTTCTCCTTATCACAATTTACTAAAAACAAAAAAAAAATAAAAGTAAAGATAAATATTTTTTACAGTAGGTACAAACGATATGTATTTTGAACTTTTGGGTTACATTACGTTAAAAACATTCAGATTCAATATGTTTTTATTAATACAATCACATACTTATATCATAGTAACAACAAGACTAGCTTTTGTAAGACAATTTCTTCAAAAATCCTTATTTATACCCTAATTCTTAAAAAAAGAATCAGTCTAATTGCACTGTTAGTAGTACTCGAGAGACGAAATCTCTTTTTAACAAACTATGATTACGCTAAGATGAAAGAGACAAACTATTTTATGAATCTTTATTAATTTGCAAGAACCCGTACAAATATCACGAACATTATTTAATCAATCTTGAAATATATTTTCTCTGTAATTTAAGTTCTCCAAGGAAAGCAACATAAAGAAAATGTTCTATCGCCATATTTGATTAATTAATGGCATTCATTGCCTATATACAATACTAAACACAAACAATTTTCGGTTTAATTAATTAAAAAATCAATTTCTTGAAATTAAAAAAAAAGTAGTGTTTCTTGCCAGTTCGTCTCGACCTCTACACTCTGGCAGTAAATGTGTGAAGACATTTGATTCTTTGAAGTTCATAATAAATATACAAAACCTTCATGAATTAATATTTAATTTTAATTTGAAACCGAATTCTTTAGGGCCTCCACCGTGAGGCTATGGATTCCCGTCCCTCTCCGCTTAGCTTCTCTCTTCTTCCTTTAAATCTTTAATGTACAAGCATTGCCTATCCACATCGGTACCTTAACTATCGTACTAACTAAAATTCTCTTTTATCTTCCATATATTATGTCATATTGTTTTGTTTTCTTAAATTCTTTTTTCTAAGTTTTGTGTTCCAAAGTGTTTCCCTTGAAGAAAACGCTCGTAAACGATAAGGCCGCCCGTTGCCCTCCTCATTATTTAAATATTTAAATTGTAATATATTTCTTGCAATGAAGTAAAATAAATAAGTTTTTATATAATATTTTGTCCATTTCGTGAATTTTATCTATTTTTTAATTTCGCTGCACATACATATTTTCAAGATCAAACCGCAACTGCTAGTCGTGTATTACGTACCATTTGAAGTATTGATTTGTATGTATATAGACCATATTATACAAGGTCTTCTATAGAATATTTGTACATTGTACCTTAAAAGCAGCGTTAGCCTAGTGGCTTAAGCGATTTACAACCCTAACGTCATCCTGTCAAATCCCGGTAGTGTATTTTTCTTTCCATATGCGTAATTAAGGACCTATATGGTCGCCTAACTCCAAAAAAGTACATTGTTGTAATGGAAAAAATATATGGTGGAGTTTATGTATCCATTTTGAAAGATCGATACACGATTTAAATAACTTCGCTTGATAGAAAATTATAACGAAAATGTATATAGAACATGATTTTGAAATTTACACTATATATTTTATCGCAAGCTAAGTAATCCATTTCAGAAAAAAAAATTGATAAAATTTATAAATTTAATGTTTTACATAACTAATTGTTATTACGGGCCGGTGCGCCTCAGTGCTCCAGCTCTCCACTGCGCCCTCCACTCCACCCCGAGACACTGACACAGCAATTCGTGCTGGGATAGGGCCTTAAAAGTACGGTGAAGGCAAACCTATATATTTTTGAATCAAAAGTCTTCTTCACGTGAAGGCTTACCTACTTGTGTATAAATCTGAGGCTAAGACATAGAGAATTATTATGCTTTCGTTATAATATGACAAGTTTAATCAGCGTCTCTTGGTACATATAAAAATTAACAAAGCTTCCTTAAACTGCCAAAAAATTTAGACATAATTTTTATCTATTTAATGTATCTTTGTTTGCGTAATAAAACTAAAAGCCATCTAAATTGAGATACACAAACACCAGAAAAAGTTATACAGAAATAAAAAACTACAAAAAATAGGAAACAATGTTAAGTTTAAAAACTGTTGTATTGTTTCATGAAAGTGTTGTCATACGGACGTCGTTCTAGATTCCAGGACAAATCCAACCTCGTAGCTACTCTTCACTCCTTTATTTTGCATTTTTTAGTTTGACTGAAAAATATGTTTAAATGAAATTTATTCACTTAAAACTTTTATTTGCTTTTTTAACATCAGTATGTTAAACTTAGTAACGAAAAGTCGCTCCCGCCTTTTGTAGGCTTAGATCTACTACGCAAAGAATTCAAATGCCATTTATCATTATTAGTATGTACACTGTGGGAGGTTTCCTAATCTAAAAATTAATAGAAGAAAATAGTAGGTAAAGAAACTATTTACTATATATATGTATGTGGATGTTTTATAGCTTACCAATTTTAGCTACATGGGTATTAAATATATATAAAAGTAGTATTGTTTTTTTTTAAATAAAAACGAAACATGTCAGTCGGCCATTCCTCAATGTAAGCTGTGCAATTTGAAGTAAGTTAGACTTATTTATTTCACAGTATATAGATCAATATCGATAATTATCGTTCGCTTATAATTTTTGGTAGTGGGCTGATCAATAAAAAAAATCTTGTGAAGCGCCTATCAGGCACCTAATCTGCATTGTTAAGCAGTTTGTTTTTTTTTTGTAAAATTGTAAAAAAAATAAAAAAAATAAAAAATATATAGATTGTAACATATACTGTAGAAAACGCATAATATATGATGTGTACTTTAATAAATAAATATCGTTCTCAAATAACTGTTGGTACGTACTTGAATAGCGTTTACGACTTCTAGAAAGCGTTCTGTTCTGAAAACGCCTAAAACATCTCGATAATGAAAGTCCATCAAATTCTATTTGAATGTCCATATCGTTACGAAAGGTTTACCGTTTGTCAACTTCATTTACTTTCGCCATTCATGTACCGCATCGCAAACACTAAACACATCCGTGACACTTTCATAATTGGAATGCCGAAGGAGACGAATACAACACGACCACAGTTTATTTCATTTAGAAATTAATTAGTAATTAACATATTTAATTTGACGATAGGTTCAATTTGAAAACAATGTAGAATTGTAGATTTCAAATATAAATAGCTATAATCATTATTGTTCATAAAGCTTTGAATTTAATCAAGACTATAATCTTATATATATATATTTCTTGTGTGCGTGTGTATGTGACTGAACTCCTCCTAAACGACTTTACCGATTTTGATGAAATTTTTTGTGTGTGTTCAAGGGGATCTGGGAATGGTTTAGATTCACAAATCAGCGCGGCAGATGGCACTGCAGTCGGTACTTTCATACTTTGCTTAATATCCTAATCGCTTTAAATATCATGCAGGACAACGTCTGTGGGGTCCACTAGTAATATATAAAATTCTCGTGTCACAATGTTCGTTCCCATAATACTCCGAAACGGTTCGACCGATTTTTATTAAATTTTTTATGCATATTCAGTAAGTCTGAGAATTTGCTAGTATCTATGTTTCAAACCCCTTAATGATAAGGGGTGTCCACCCCAAAAAAAAATGTTTTTTATTTTTTAGATTTTTTTTTGTTTATGATTCAGCATACTTAATTTTCATGCCTCTACGATCAACTCCTATTTTTTATTATTGTAGATAGTTATTTTTATTGAACTAAAAAAATGTTTCCTAGAAATAATACACATGGCAAAACAACGGTTGCCGGGTCAGCTAGTATTTAATAAAATTATGCATGTTTACGTAAAGTGAACTGTTGCTATCAAATATTTCATGTACTTTGCTTTGATTACTTGTTTATTAGCAATGAATTTTCAAAAATGCAGGACAGCCTTGAAAAAATCCTTCACTATTAAAATCCTACATTATACCTGAGTAACATAGGCTATTTATTTCCATGATACAGTGTATAAACTCTTTATAACGAATTTCAAGGTACCGAGCATTTTTATTCGTTATACAGAGGTATCGTTATAGGGAGGGAAGAATTAACGTATGGGTATTGGGTTAAACCCAATAAATTATAATAATTTTTACGTTATAGAGAGACATTCGTTATAACGAATGACGATATAAATAGTTTAAACTGTACTTATAAAACGTTCAGTCGTGTTTTATAATTTGCTGTTAAAGTATGAAGTTATAGCTGAACATTAATAATTAAATATATGTATCAAACAATTTGCTTTCAAACAATGCATATGGAAGTAGAAAGTACATGTACTTGAAATAGCTGACCTAACCGGGTGCTTTCGTCACAGTGAACAGTGTCACCTCACTTAGAATATTTAGTACCTACTCGTTAGCACATCGCGCTCAACGTGAATTAAAACTAACTACTCTTGCAATGTTGCCTTACGTGGTCACTGGGCACGAACAAGAATGTTCGATGTTTGAAACCGTCCATGTTATAAAATACAAACGTTTGTTATTTTGCGTTCTGAATGACACCATTCTATGTAATATGTGGTCTCAGTTTCAACACTGAGACGCCCATTTGGACCGTTGTGCGTAGTCTTGGTTAATTAAGCCAGCCTAGCCACCCTCATATAAAAATAATATAAATCAATCTAATAGCACTCCATTAACTATGGTAGTGTTGTGTCTCTTTCTGTCTAATTGTGTTTACGCGTGATCAATAGAGACAGATAGATGAGTTTAATTAAAACGCAATTAGACGCATTAGAGCGCGGCCACACGACGCGTTAACGGTGCGGTGCGGCGCTGGAGCGGTGCCGCAACGTCATCCTATATACAAATTACTATACCATGTCACACGGTGGACTTGTGACCTGCGGGACGAGGCGCGGAGGTGTAAAATATATTGCCACACCGCAACGCCCGTGTGGCACCCTATAGTTCGAAGTAATTGCGGTGCGGCGCCGCACCGCACCGTTACCGCATCTTGTGACCGCGCTCTTAGGAAGGTCTCTACCGAAACCGACGGCCGGGAAATAAGAACACCTAAACCTAGAAGAAAAATAATTGCCAATCTTTCAATTACATCACTGTGGGCTAAGTTTGGATGTTTTAAAAGCAGTAAAACTCGCTAACTCTTATGACTTAATCTTCACCGTTAGCTGACCTTAAGTGACAATAGGACAATACTACTTTGTTCTTGTTCGACCGTTTAAGCTCAACTACAAGGCCCACAATCAAAACTTGAGTGACAAAACTGCTGCAATAAAAACATGAATACAAATAAAGAAACATGATACGCCCGAATTGGATCAATCAATCATGAACCGCAAAAAAGTCAGGTGAATATAGAGAACAAAATTTTAAAATGATATATCTTCCCGCAAATTAAACACTCTGAAAAAAAAGTCTGAGATAAAAAAAATATGAATCAAATTATATAATATTTGGTATATTAAATGAAACTACTATCCTAATTTAATTTCTATTTCATCTAATAATCTCATAAAATTGTACACCATTGAATCAAAAATAAATATAAAGATATTGTTTTCGATTTGATGTAAATCAGATAATAGAATCATGTGGGCCACGCGTGCCTTACCACTTAGCACATACTGCATTAAAACAGGTTTTTATATCAACAAACGACACGTAAAAGTTATTTGTATTTCAACACATTAGACGATCGTCAATGACGAATAAAATTATCGAACAAATGCCATGTTTATTGTATTGGCCAATAATTTAATAAGTACACAAATATAATTATAATAAAATCTTAAATAATCACTTACTAGCTCAATCTTTTAAGAAACATTTAAAATGGTTTGTGTGTGGTGGAACTACGTAATTTTGTATGGCAATCAAGGTTTACAATAAATTACCAAAAGAATTAAAACCGATTAGAGTCATTAAAAAGCGACTTGGTGTATTACTTTTGGAAAAAATTTATTATTACATAAGTGATTATTTGCGAGAGACACTGTAGTTGATATAAATTTAATAACGTATGATATGATATGTACGATACAAATAATATAAGAATTGACCAATTCATATGACTAATAATGTAAAATGTAAAATTCCTTTAAAGACAAATTTGCGCGCCATTGTGTGTGTAATGCGTTTTACATTACATTTTTGTGCCATATTCTTGCAATAATTTATTATTATTATGTGTAAGTTGTACATTTCGTCAATAATAAAGGTCCCGTGTTGCCGATTAAAATGCAATAAATGAGATTTATCCTATGTTAAAACAATTCTGCGCATACTTTAAGTGACATTTTATACAGAAATAAGTCTCTTGATTACGAGGCGGTAATTGAAATCTTATTCCTGAAATATCAGAAATAAGACCAATATCGAAATTTTGTACAATCATATTTCTCGACTATACCACATGTATAAACAAGCCTTGTGTAATATGGACATCTGTTGTACTTGTCTAAACATTCTTAACACATGACCGAAGTAGGTGCCATATTGGTTGTAAATAAAAATATGAACACTTTAAATGCCGTGCAATATACTATTTTTTTCATCCTCAGTATTGATTTATTAGTGCTAACCTATGATTTTAGAGCAATAGGAAGCCCCTCAAAATATTATAAAATTAAAACATGTCCATTTATATCTAATACTCATCCTGTTCATAAATTGTCGTAGAAGTAATTCTAAAATTAGGAATTGTTAGCTAAAAATATGTTTTTGTTATAAAAAATATTTTGTATATAAGATTAGGTCTATAAAGATTAGGTAAGATAAATTAAATATATAAAGGCTTAGTTAGTGCACAACAAATCCATGCCTAGATTATATTAAAATTCTTTTATGTTATAGATTAGTTGAAAAATGTCAAATCTTCATGCCTGTTACTTTAAATTAAAAAACACTAACAATCTTGCAGAGTCCATGAGTTGGCTGGTGAATGTGGAGATAAGCTGTAGATAGGCACACCAAAATGCTCTCTCAAACATGAGCTGTTTGTATTCTTCATAGCTTGAACCAGCATTTTTGTAGATTTTCCAACATTTTCACCCTTTTTGAGAAATGTGGCAATATCTACACCGCAGCTTTCATTGACTGCTTTTCTACATTCAATTGCGGATTGTGGTGACATTTTTTCAACCCCAAGAGCTGAATTACATACTTCATTTACTAGTTCTAGTACAGCAACATCAGTTTGAAAAATTACTTCACAGCAGCCTAGTTTTGAAAAAAACATTTTAGAAATATATTTATGTCAATACTACAAGCTAATAAGCTTGGTAAATGTTTAATGACCTATCTTATTTCACTTATATTCATCTTGGAATATGAATCATGAAACATAAATACGAAATAAATAAAAAATAAAACTTTTACAAGGACTAATGGATTTTCCATTGGAAACAAATTTATAACAAAAAACTAATTAAAAAAATACTTCAATACCTTTTATGGTTTAATATTTATGCTGAATGTAGTGCTTGACCTTAATAAAGTATGTTTACTGTTAAATATGTATACAAGTATTCTTCTGGTCCAGTATTGATCTCTGGTCCCAAATCTTCTCAATAATACAAATAATATGGTTTTATATAATCTTATGATAATATCCTTTCAAGTACTTCTACTCTTCTTTAGTATTGAAGCTTAATATAATTTTATTGTAATACAATTATCTAGCACATTCTTATCAGACTGAATGTAAACAATTAAACATTTGCTTAAAGTCAACAAGTTACTGGACTGAGAAATATTTGCATTAGAATATCTGTCCCTAAGAAAACTTTACTTAGATAATCTCAGTAACCTATGTAATAGCTTAAAAAAACAGCATTTAAATTGTTTAATAAGGCCTTCAAAACCAATTTATAGGACACAAAACGTATAATTAGCGCTGCTAACGCGCTTCTAGGTCGCACTATTGACATTGAGCTAAGAGTTAAAAATACTTATTTACCTGCCTCCCGGTCGAATTTGTTCGGTTTTAGTTGCTCCTGTGTGTGACCCACGATCAAAGGAGACAGAATCCTGGGCCACAACACTGCGAAACATCCCACAACAATCACTAAAACCAACATCGTTTTTCGCGGACCTAACACCTCGTCGATGGCCATTGTTTCGTCGTGTTTTTCGTATCGTTATCGATAATTCACGCACAGCCGGTTGCACTCTACGGGAACATATTCGTGTGTGATATAAATAAAGTTTTCCTCAATTTTATTGCGCGACGAGAAAGCAGTCTCTAGAATGACAGCTCACAGCTGTCAGTTGGCAACCCTTCAGCGTCCACCCCGCGTTACGGGAGCGATCGGAAAGTCGTACAATCAACGGTGCGTTTATCTTCTTTTCTTCTTGAATCTTCTAGTGATGACCGCCGATGGATTGAGCTGGCTCGATGTGACACAGCCGTATATCATAGTCAATCAGCTATGCCGACATCTTGCCTTCCCAGCCACCGGCTTTTAGTGTGATATCTATAGTCACTAAATAAGTTTCAAATATTGACTTAATAATTATCAAGTAGAAGCGAGCGTGCGGCGCTCTGGAGCCTCGGTACAATATGCCTGGGCGCGGAGGCGGCGCTGGCTAATAACCCTTCCCCACCGCGGTATGGTCTACGCGCGCAAGATGAATACCAATTAGCCGCTTGTAGGCATTTGTTATTAGATGGTAGCTTATGGTCGGGTACCCGTACATCTAACTTTGATGTACTTTTCCACAAAGCTCCACGTGAGCTGTTAAATTGTATTAATATGGAATGTTACTGTCACACCCATGAGTGTAACCTCATAACTGATGAAACATGACGAACATACACGGTAGTGTGCTTCCGTGTACGTTCAATCCATTTAAATATTAATTGTTATAACGTACCTACGAGCTATACTGAGACTAAATCGCCTTACCGCGGTCGGCATAAATATAAATACATAACGTATTATAACAGATAATTTTATATTTTCTCTAAAATCTAAATTCATACCTAATAAGTACGTTTAAAAACTTTAGAAATGTAAACAATATTGTATGTGGGCTACCTAAAGTTAACAGGTCCTGCAAATAATTAAACTCAAATTATCGAAACACTTGAAATGTAGAGCTATGTATATAATCTATTTAATTCGCGGTAATGTCCGTTAAGGAACTTTTAATTTAATGCGTAGTAAGTACCTACTATCTTGTATGAAAGACAACATCGCTATATGTTGTTTGCTGACTCTGATTTCGATGCAACTTTACTCTAAAATATTACATTACAAGAACGCCTTGTTTTAAATATCCTAGAGATAAGCCAACCTTAACATAAGCAAACATCCTAAAATGCTGTCGAAAATAAACAATATCTCAGGCTTGATTATATTATTTTTAATGAAAGGATCTATATCCTTTTTTTATATTATATAAGGATCTATATCCTTTTTTTTATATTATATAGGGATCTATATCTTTTTTTTTATATAATTAGAAACTATTTTCTAATAACAAGTTTATGTATCTATCTTTATGTATACTGCTGCCTATCGTGAAGAAATTGTTGACCAAGGCAACCTTTTTTATATATTATGAAGTCGAGTAAGGGGTATATTTCAGCGCATGTTCATTCCTTTAACTTTCTATTATAGGCCAGTTGTCAATCAGCCCTCCGTGTCGTACATCTTCGGTGTTTTTAGGGTCTAACTTCTAAAAGAAACTGATTTCATTTATGTACTAACTTTTGCGCACATAGAAAGGAATTTTCGTGGTGCGAAGGAACAACATACACTTTTTACATCTAGGTAAATGCAGGCATGTCTCATGTGATTTAAAGAAACGGATACAATTTCATACTAAGTTAAAGTTTTCCCTTATATTCTTCAGTTCACTATATGAATATGAAGTTACAAGTATCAGTATGAGGCAACCTGTTTGACACAGCATAAGCACCCAATATAATTCGATGGACCGCTTTGTATGCAAAGCGCACACATCCCTTGAACAATGGGTTGGTAGCGCTCCTTTCCACGCAGGAAATGTCGGACGCGTATGTACTACGAAGAGGGTTGCCATATATAAAAATGTCTACCTGGATGCAAGAGACAGCGACAATAAACACGGGACATCCTGGTTAGTTTCCGGTGAAGTTTTGGTTCACGGAAATGCGTGATTCAAATTTAAGTTGCAACATTTCCGTATTCTATTTTTAAAACATGTATTCAAGTTTTCAATGGGTACCTTTTACCGAAAAGCCTTTTTAAAAGTTCTTAAAAAATCTTCGTAGAATTTGTGCGGAAAGAGAATCTTGGGATTTGAAGTCGCAGTAGTTCTAAATTACCTTGTTTGCTATGTTTGAGTATTTCCGAACCAATTCGACTTAGGGACTTTCAAGAAAAGAGCGTACCAATTCTTAAGAGGCCGGCAACGCACTTCCAAGCCCTCGTGCAATATGAGTGTCTATGGGCAGCGGTATCGCTAATATTAACATCAGGTGAGCCTCCTGCCCTGCCGGCGATTCTTATGAAATTTTGTATGCATATTCAGTAAGTCCGTGAATCGGCTACTATCTATCTTTCAAACCCTTAAGTGATAAGGGGTGTTCACCCCATAAAAATATTTTTATTTTTTAGACAAACATTTTTGTTTTTATTTTTTATGATACAGAATACAAAAATACATACAACCCCTATTTTTCACCCCTCTACGATCAACCCCTATTTTTTATTATTGTAGATAGTTATTTTTATTAAACTAAAAAAATGTTTCCTAGAAATAATATACATGGCAAAACAACGTTTGCCGGGTCAGCTAGTATAAATATAAAATTTTTGATATCACTGGAACACTTAATTATTAACATGGAAAAATTAAAAGTATATTATTGTCGTGAATAAATGAAATGACGCGTGCAAATAAGGATTATATTCGTTATGACCCGTCACGCATGACGCACATACATAGGCTGCTAAAGCAAATCATCTGGTATCTTTAAACTTTGCTTTAGAGAAAAAATTTACTGAAAATAATTTTTCATCTAACCGTTACTATGCAACGAAGTTTATATTGAAAAGAAACCTTTAACGCACCTATAAGCCTCTCGAAGTTGCAGGTGCTCATGGACTGTTTATTAGTTTATTCAAATTCCTCTGAGCCGTCAGAATACAGAACACTTATGTCACTCTAAATTCATCTTCAGGTAAAGAAACTTAAAAATACGCATGAGCTGCTGAGAATATAGCATGCACTAAGCAAATTGCCCACAAACTCTGTAAATCACATCCAGGAATTACATGAAATTACTGAAATATCATGAACTGAGTACTGAGTAAGTATCTGCTGGCAATAACTGCGCAGATATGACCCTGTATTTCAAAAACGTATTGAGCTTTGCTTTAGTAATTTTAACAGTTTGCGCTAATCAGTATTATAAAGCATGTGTTGTATAAACCGTATTCCATACGTTGTATGTATGAAAATACTATTACAGTGGACTCTCGGTAATTTGATTTTTCTTCCGGTCCCTTGAAAAATTCTCGATAAATTAATCACCAACATGGGATAATTTGAAGTCTAAGCTTCCCTACTCTCTATAATTTGATGTGTTTATCATGCACAGATCTGTTAATTGTTTTTTAAATTGCTTCAAACAGTGATAGGCTGAAAATCACTCACTCAAAAACAGATAACAAACTTCTTTTTGAAATAAAAATGTGTGAATAATTGTATTTAATTGTTATATAATAGTTATATAGAAATAATAAATCACGCATTTTGATCAAACTCTTATTTACTTGAACCCCCCTCCCCTCGTGGTTATTTAAATGCTTGTTATTGTGAACTCTGGGTAATTTGAGATTTATCTCCCTTAAGTCTCAAATCATCGAGATTCGACTGTAATACCTTACATTTTTTTTTCTTACAATAAAGTTCACAAAAAAGAGTGCGACTTTCATCATCTAGCATATACAATTATGGCGAATAAGTATTATTTTTATTTAATTTTCTACAATACTAGTGAATAGCTCGAACTAAGGCAATGTTATTAACAGTCTTAGTGTTCTATAATGTTCGTGGGTCCAAGATACCGCACTTGCACATACTACATTCAAACTCAAACTCAAAATATATTTATTCATATAGGTAAACAAGCACACTTATGAACGTCAAAAAAGAAGTTAAATTAATTGTAAATTTACATTTACTACCAGTTCCCAGGTCAAGGGCGAAGAGCGGGCAAGAGGGCACTAGGTTTATTAACTCAAAAGGTTTAGCTTTCTTTAGGCGTCTTATTTCTGATGAGTCAAGAAGTTTGATTGCCTCAGCATTCACATGGCTATGTAACCTTACAATAATAATAAAAATGTCCTAATTAAATAAATAAGTTTAACATTGAGATGGTTGAATTTTTATGCATTTATAAAATATCTAGCAATCCAGTGTGCCTTTTGGCAGAGGCCTCCCCCAGCATCCAATGAGTTATCTTATATATAAAATTCTCGTGTCACAATGTTAGTTACCGTACTCCTCCGAAACGGCTTGACCGATTTATATCAAATTTTATATGCATATTCAGTAGGTCTGAGAATCGGCTACTATCTATTTTTCATACCCCTAAGGGTTGTAACCACTAACATTTTATTTTTATTTTTTGGACGAGATTTTAATTTTTTTATGATAAGTACATCAAAAATACACAAATACATACAACCCTTAATTTTCACCCCTCTACGATCAACTATTTGTTGTTATTATTGATAGTCTATATTTTTATTGAACTCAAAAAAAAAACCTAGAAATAATATACATGGCAAAACGATGTTTGCCAGGTCAGCCAGTATCATATAATAATATCTTACTAAAGATATAAAATTTATTAAAATTCTAGTTTTTCTCTTCGAGGCTAGATGAGACACCATGTGGAGGTCTTAAGATGAAGGGGCGGTAGTAACACGTGGGTGTAACTATCAAGCTTATTAGACGAATTGTAGAGAGCTGATTCACACATTTAATTCCACGCCCGCCAGCCATCTGTAGTCAATGGCTCATTTAGATAAGCTTATCAAACTTGAATAAACTTAAATTTATCCAAGGGATAATTTTTGGATGCGATATTTAGTAATAAGCTGTGAAGTTTTATAATAATGTTATTTGTATAGATGTATATCATCATCAATGGTTGATGCTCAATTACACTTCGCCATCGCAATCTATCTAGTGCTTCCCGCGTCCAATTGCGAACGCCTATTGTTTCGAGGTCCTTGACAACTCCATCCCACCAACGCATCCTCGGTCTACCGGGTTTTCTTTTGCCACCGGGTTGTGAGTTTAGTAAGGACCTTGGGGTTCTGTCGTTCGCCATTCGGTGCACATGTCCCAGCCACTTGAGCCTGTTGCACTTTATGAATTGGACGATGTTGGCGTCGTCTAGGATGTTATAAAGTTATTCATTGTAACGGTACGCCAAACACCGTCGTTGCAAACAGGACCAAAGATTCTTCGAAGAATCTTCCGCTCGAAAATAAGGAGAGAGATCTCGTCTTTCTTGCTAAGGGACCAGGTTTCAGAACCATAAGTGAGCACTGGTCGCAGCAGAGTTTTGTACAGAACAAGCTTGGTATTCTTCCTGAGAAGTCGCGTTTGGAAATATCTGCGAAGGTCAAAGTAGCAGCGGTTTGCCATCATGATGCAATGTATAGATGTATATCATATTCCAAATTGAACCTTTTAGTTTTACATACATATAATAAAAACCTTTTATAAATAATACAATTTAAACACTGACGAAATTAAAACGCTTATCATTATTGTAGTTATACAATTATTTAAATTAGAA